GCAAATTTTCAGGCAAAAAAAAAAAAAAAAAGGCTAGCAGAGTGGCTCAAGTGGTAGCACACCTGTCCAGTAGGCATGAATTCCTGAGTTCAAACCCCAGTACCACCAAAAAAACCAAAAACAAAAACAAAAAAAACCCCAAAACAAAACAAAAAAAAATTGCATAATCTAGAATGCAGACCATTTCTGTTTGATAACCAAAGCCAAAATACCTGACTCTGGTATATAGAAAGAAATATGTAATTTTTTTAACAGTTCAGTGTTGTATTTGTAGATCACAACTCCCAACATGATTTATAGCTTTTTTTCTGTTTAAAAAAAACTGCATACATGCACCAATAATTCAAAATTCTTTCATAAAAGATGGTCATTATTCGCCAATTCAAAATATACCTAACAAATGCATCTGCTAATCTGAACTGTCTATTTCTTTGTGACATCACTGTTATTATTACTATCCTGCTCTTTTGTGATGCAGGGGACCAAAACCAGGGCTACATGCATGCTAGGCAAGCCCTCTACCACTGAACTATATACTCTCCGCCCTGTACGGTATTTAAATATGCTGCCCATCCACATTTCTGCCAATTGCTTCTTTATTTTCTTCATCTAATTTTCTATTTTCTTAGTTACTGGCTTTTAGTGTATTTTTGCTGTATGTATTATAAAAAAACAGTTTCTAGCTTTGCCCTTTAACATTGTTTATGGTGGTTTTATTGAAGGAAAAAAAATAAGTTTATGAATTCAAACCAGGCAATCTTCTCTTTCATCTGGATTACATGTTAATCAAGAAAGGAATAAATGAATACAATCAACACCTCCCAAAAAAACCTCGGGTAAGAAAGATTATATAGCCAACGACCAACAATACCTATCATTTCTGGAGCCCTAATTAAATGCATTTAAACCTCCCAACATTTTTATGGGATAATTTCCATTAGTATCTCCATTTACAGAAGACGCAACTAAGGCAAGAAGAGATTAAGAAACTTGCCCCAGTTGTGCACTTTGTATGTCACTAAAGCCAAGATTTGAACATAAATCTGTTTAGAGCTGGAGAACCACTACACCAATGGGAGAAATAACCAACTAAGCCATATGACCATAGGTCAAAAGAAGCATGTATATATTTCATAATGGGAAAGATACTAGCTGAAGAAACAGTGGTAGTAAAATGGAAAAATGTTCAAAATACAGAAGTGCGAGCAGCTTCAGAAAGAGAAAAAGAATCAAGAGCAGAGGAGAAGAGGTAATGTTGTAAGCTAATAAAAGACACTGTGTCTTCTAAGATAGGGGAAGCTCTAGATACCATAACATAAAGACTCTGCCACAGAATATTAATTTAATTTACTTCTGCTTTATGAAAAGCTCAAAATGAAGAAATATGTAAGTAGATTATTTGACACATAACTGTTGTTTATTCTTCTAGGTAATTTTCTTTTTTGTAGTACCAGGGCTTAAACTCAGGGCTGACACCTTGAGCCATTCCACCAGCCCTTTTTTGTGATGGGTGTTTTTAAGATAGGGTCTCAAAAACTACTTGTCCAGGCAGACTTTGAACTGCAATCCTCCTGATCTCTGCCTCCTGAGTCACTAGGCTTACAAGTGTGAGCCACCAGCGCCTGGCCCAAGGTACACTTTTAAAAACTGAGCTCAAAATTTTAAAAATCATGGAATTACTTCAGAATACCTTTTGGATTAGGTGCCAATGGACAGCCTTTTCTTTCCATAAATAATTTTGTTCTTTTTCTCACAAACAGTGCAAATTATGGTATAGACTTTTATGTCCCAGTTTAACTCTTCAGATCAATTCAATTTGAGCCCAACTTGAATTATTTTGTACGTACTTATTTTTTTATAGTCATATCCCATTCTTCCCCTGGTTCTGATTTTTCTACCTGTACTTTTCCCTCACTTATATTAATTGATTTAATTTTTTAAACCTTAGTGGTAAGTTATAGTAACTGAATATAACTATACTGCAAAACAATGCAGCAAATAAATACATGCTTAAAACATACAAGAGACCTAGCTGTATCCTCTTCCTTGGAAAGTGCAGAGTCCCGAGAACGCCAAACTGAGGAAAGAAACAAAACACATTTGTGTCAGAGTTCTGGACAAAGGAATATGGAAGTCTTCAGAACTAGGCAGATACAATATTCACTACGAATGAGAAATGTTAAGCATCCTATCAAAGCTATAGAGATACTTACATGTATATGGACAACTAGTTTAGTCACACAGGGTCTGATAAAGATCTCTGACAACCAAGTATAGGCTGTCAAATGAACCTATAGGCAGTATAGCATTTCCTTGGGATCTTACCATTTTATTCCCAGCAGGAAATTAATCTTAAGTATATAATAAATACCACACTGATTTAAACATTAGGAGATCCTTTCAATTGATATTCAAACCATAAAGGATTTGGGGAAAATAATCTTAATTAAATTAAAGACTGGGAACAGGCATTGTGGAACACCCATGTAATGGGTTGAAATGCCATCCTAATTTTGATGTTACTTTGTAATAATTTATGTTTTTTAACCCTAAAAAATTTAGGGTCTTCTGATTAAAAATGGAAAACTGAATACTTCTACTTATTTCTCCTGTCTCCTAAACCCAATCAAATGTTAGTAAAGGAACAAAGGGAGCTAAAACTCACAGAGAAAACAGAAAACTTCAAAAGAGATTATTAATGAAATAAAGTACGGGGATCTAGAGAGAAGAAGGAAGAGAGAAGGTTGAGGGGAAGGTGGGAAAGCCATGGCAGCACCCTAGAAAAGCTCAGAAGTTGAGGTGTGAGGTATTTCTGCAGAAAGGAGTTTGGGAACAGGGCTGAAAAACAGGGAACTGAATGTAAGCTTTTTTGGGGGGGTTGTTTTTAAATAAAAAGGTGCTAAAAACCACCTGATATTTTTATTTTTCACCCTACACACCATAGTGACATTTCCTCTAAAAAATTAGAGGTATCTTTTCTCTCCAGATACAATGAATGGGACAGGCTCTGGATTTCAACACTACCAGATCCAGATAAGGGTGGGTCTGAAGCAATGTAAAAAAAAGTAAAAGTTCTCACATTGAAAAATGAGTTCTTCTGCCTCTACTTCTTTCTCTTGTTTACCTCCTAAAAAGCAGGAGTTCTTGCTTATATTCTGCAAGCAAATCTTAAACTTCCACTGGGGAAAGTGACTGACCCAAAAGAAAATGCTTATAGATCCTGACATTTGATCAGAACCATATCAGAAGGAAGGACAAGAAGAAAAGTGTATTGGAGTGGGGGTGATATGGTGGAAGGGGTCAGGTAGTTAAGAGAGTTAAAACCTTATGTACATTGTAGGAAATACTAAAAAGTGAGAAATGAAGCTGGGCACCTGTGACTCACATGTGTAATGCTAGCTACTTGAAAGGCTGAGATTAGGAGGATTGTTGTTTGAGGCCAGCTGTGAAAACAGTTCACAAAACCCCATTCTAAAATAACCAGAGGAAAATGGACTTGGCTGTGTGGCTCAAGTGGTAATTCTTCTTTGCAAGCATGATATCCAGAGTTCAAATCCCAGTACCACCAGGAAAAAAAAAAAAGTGAGAAACCAAGCATTAGCTGTACTGAGGATGTTATTCAGAAAAATGGACATGAATATTCAGACTAAAATGTTCAAAGCAGTTGGCTTAGGATTGGGAACAGAGATGAGGACTGAAAGACCAGGAAAGCTTGTTTATAGTCCTAAAGCCAGGTTAAAAACGTACGCTGAGCACATGCCTGGAATCACAGCTCTGCGGTGGGAAGCAGCAGGACTATGAGCTCAAGGCCAGTCAGGACAAAGTTAGCATGAGACTCTATCTCAAAACCAAAACATTAAAAAAAGGCCGAGAGCACGTCTAAGCGGCAGAGTACCTGCTTCACGCGCACAAGCCCTGGATTCATTCCCTAGTACCACCCGCACAAACAAAATTAAATGCACCCTGTAAGAAAAAGAGAAATTACATTTACATTTGTTTTTGGCAGTATTGGGGTTTGAACTCAGGGCTTCACACTAGCTAGCCAGGCACTCTACCATTTCAGTCATGCTCCCCAGTCTTTCCGGCTTTAATCATTTTTTAATGTAGGGGCTCATGTTTATTCCCAAGTCAGCCTGGACCAAGATTCTACTATTTATGCTTCCCGCATAGCTGGGATGACAGGTGTGCACTGCTACACCCAGCTTTTATTGGTGAAATGGGGTCTTGCAAACTTTTTGCTCAGGCTGGCCTCAAACTGTGATCCTCCGGATCTCTGCTTCCCAAGTAGCTAGGATTACAGGTATGAGCCACCACATACAGCTAAAAATTTGTTTTAAAAATTCCTAACAGTCAATAACACTTGTGTGAGCTTTCTTAGCAGTAGTAAATTTCCTAACTTTTTTACACTATCCCTGAACATACAGTCTTTCTCAAGAACCTAAAATCTGCCCATCTCTGGGACATCTCACCTCTCCTTTCCATCATCTGGGTCAAACGCTCCATTGTCACACAGCTATTGCTGATTTCTGAAGATGTGAGATGTCATTGAGATCGTTCCTGCTCTGGGCAGGATGGTCAAGATAGTCTGTAGGTCCAGCACCTCCAGCATCCACTCTTTTCCAGGACTCTCCAGTTTCTGGGACAGGTCTCAGGTCAGAAGGTCTCCTTCCATGACAGATACCTCTGTTCCTCAGGTTTGTTTCTAATCAAACCACAGATCTGTCTTATCCTTGTGGAAGCAGGACCTGTGGGCTTAGGACATAAATCCAATTTACCTGATGTCTTCTCACAGGCTCCCTGTGATAATTTGCCTCTAAGATAATTCACAATGATCCATGTTTTCTGATATCTTATGGACACCTCTCCTACACTGAATAGGGTTGACCTATATAAACAACAGGATGCAGCAGAAGTGATGGTATGTGACTTCCAAGGTTAGGTCATGAAAGACATGGGTGTTTCTTCTTGCAATTTTTAGATCATGTATTTTGAGTGAAGCCAGCTGTCACACCATGAAGACACTCACACGACCCTAGGAAGAGGCATCCTGCCAACAGCTAATACTAACTCGATAGCTGTCTTGGAAACAAATCCTCCAGCCTAGTCCAGCCTTCTGAAGACAACAATCCTGCTGACACTGTGACTCTTAACTGTGAGACATGTGAACCAAAATAACCAGCAAAGTCACACTCCATAGAAACCTCAGCTAACAAACATTTATTGCTGTTCAAGCCACTACGTTTCCAGATAATTTGCCAGATAACTAATTAGATAACTAATAGTAACAGTCCCCAAGCTTATTTTCCTTGTCTGTAATTTAGTCTGCTAAGCTACTTCTGATGCAGAGACTAAAAATCAGAAGGAAAACAAAAAATTTGATAAAGTTGAGTTAAAAAAAAACCTGAGATTTTTAGAAACCCTACATTTGACATAAAACAGAGTTGCATTAAGAGTCCTGCTATACCATTCTCTGAGTTATCCTGGGAACTGAGGTAAAGGAAAGTTGCAATTTGGAATGAAAATTATAACCATGCTACATTGGAAGCAGAGGCAGGAGGATCACAGTCTGAGGCTGGCCCAGGCATAAAAACCCCACAAGACTGTATTTGAAAAATAACCTACAGCAAAAATGGTTGGTGGTATGGTCCAAGTGGTAGAGTACTTGCCTAGGAAGTGCAAGACCCTGAGTTCAAACCCCAGTATCACCCTCCCGTCTCCCCAAACCCTCCAAGTGCTGATAAAATGGCAGCCACTGTGGAAAACAGTATGGCAGTCAAAAACTTTAAAACAGAATTAATATATGATCCAGCAATTATTGTGAGTATATCCCTAAAATAAAAGCAGGCACTCAGATAATTGCAAAACCGTATTTATAGCAGCATCACTTTCAGTAGTTAAATGGTAAAAGTAATCTGATGGATGAATGTATAAAAAACGTTTATCCATACACAACAAACATAATAAAAAGAAATAAAGTCTGACACACACTAATAAATGTTAAGGACCTATGCAAAGTTAAACCAGTCACAAAAGGACAAATATGATATGGTTCTGCTTATATGAGGCACCTAAAGTTGTCAAACTCCTAGAGACAGAAAGTACAGTAGTGGCTACAGGGGCAAAAGGAAAGGAGGGTAGCAAGTTTCTCTTTTGCAAGATGAAAAGAGTTCTATGGATGGATAGTGGAGTAACCATTCAAAGAATGACAACATGAATGTACTCAATGTCACTGAACTGTACAACTAAACATCAAAATGACCATCATTTAAAAAATACGTAAATGTGTATGTGTATAGAACTCCACATTTGAGGATTTAACAAGTTTATTTAATTCACAGTTTTCTGAGATAGTCTCACTATGTAGCTCAAGCTGTCCTTGAACTCAAGATTCTCCTGCCTCAGCCTCCCAAGTGGTAAAACTACAGTTGTATGCCACCATGCTTAGCTTGGGGATTTTAAAGTAGAAGAAAGTTATATATCATATGCAATAACAAAATCTGAAAAGCAGTATTGCAGAAAAGAGAACTTGGACTACAAGGCATTTATCAGAATTAAGAAGCACATTTCTTCAATTTGCTTCCCCCCCACCCCCCGTTTTGGTTTGGTAGTGCTGGAGATCAAACCCAGAGCCTTGCACATGCTAGGCAAAGATTCCACCACTGAGCTACAATCTCAGGGCAAGCAGCACACTTCTTAATGTGTTAGATTGGAGTCTTGTTCCCAATTGCTCACTCCCTCTATCAGGATTATACATTCATATTGCCATGTAACTTTGCCTTGCCCTCCAACTGTGGGTTGTTAATGGATGTTAAGCTTATCCACGTGCTTTTTCTTTGACAAGCATTAGTATATTTGGAAGCACAGATTTGGGGGATGTTTGCAAATCTGTATTGCCCCCGGATGATCCACCATGGAAAAAAAATGCCTTGGTAACCACTGTCATTTAAACCTCGTGAGGGGAGCAAACCTGAGGGGGAATAAACAGTAGAAATGGTTCTGGGAATGTAAAAGTAACAAATTGCAGACTTTGTTTTAGATAAAGAAGACAGGAAGGCATCCTAAAAGCAATCATCTAAAAAGGTAAAATATAAACCTCTTAAGGAAGATGGCAGAGTAGTCATAAAATGTATATAGCAGATCTCAAGGACAGGATGGACTAAGAAGGCCTTCCTGGAATGCCCAGTCCAGGAAAGATAGGGTCAACAAAAAGTTAAATAACACAGTCAATTACAGATGCAGCTTCTAAGTGTGTGTGTGGGGAAGGAGAGGGTAAGTAAGGCAAAGACCTTTCTTACCTCCTAGACTTCAACCATTCTTTGGCTTAGCTCTTTTCACTAAGTTCCACCCATTAGGGAGGAACTTTGCTATCCTTTCAATAAACTTTGTGCTTCCTTTAACTCTTAACTCCTGGTCCACAGTCTTCAATCATCTACTATGCCAGGACACGAACTCGGGAACAACACTCCAGTACCAACCTGAACCCCAGAACAGACAAATGGAGGGCAGCTCTGAACTTATCTTACAGCTCAGCCACTCAACCAAATGCAGCCTAGATCAGCTGAACACAGCAGCAAACAACATGAACAAGAGAATGAAAATAAATGCTAGCTGATGAATAGAACCGAGTTTAGGGAGGGCTTGTTAGGCATTAGTAAACTAATCCAGGCCAAGAGGATATATAAACTCAATGGTGCAGCTCGCCTGGAACGCACAAGTCCCTGGGTTTGATTAGAGCACCTTAAAAAAAAAAAAAAGTAAAATAACTAACATACCTACTAAAAGAAGCAAACTAGGAGATGATAATATTGAACCTGGAAAAAGATGGAGGGAAACAGGAAAGCTAGAGAACGGGACCAATTAGTGTGGGGGAGAAGAGGGACAGCAAAGGAAACAAAGGAGGGGCCAATGGGGACTGGGGACTATTAGAAAGCAAATATGGAAACATTTTCTTAAAAGTTATCAACTATGCAAACGATACAAACTAATCCTTAGAAAAACACGCTAGCACACCCCTCAAATCCATCCCAATCACACGCACGAAATCCCACACCGTTTCGTTCCAGCAACTCGGTCACTCACCAGAAGCGAACTCACGACTGTTTGTGCTGCCCCTAAGAGCCTCCGCCCCGCCAGCCGACCGAGGCCAGTGCAAACCGGCCCGCTCCAGCCCCTCCCTCACTTCCCGTGGCGGGGACTCGGCAACGTCACCCGCCCAAAATGTCCGAATGCCTATCCAGGGCGCAGTGAATGAAGGCAACCCGCGCGTTCGCCAGGACACACTTGAGAATGCCAAACCAGCTCGCCCAGACCGTTACGTGCCAGAGCACAACTGTTCCCAGAAGGCGCCGCGCGCGGCCCGAATCAACTTCCGGAAGTTCCTGTGTGACGGAGGAGTGTGGCAGGGACGCGGGGGAGGCTCGGCCCCAGTGGGCTGGGCTGAGCTGAGCTATGGTGACGCACAGCTCTGAAATTATTCTCATCTTGGAGAGTTGCAGGAGCAGTTGTTTGGAGGATGTCCACACAGGCGCTCAGAGGAATCAGCATGGGTTATTCTTTCGGACTACATTTCCCAGAAGGCCTAGCGGTCTCTGCAGGAACTCGAACGTTTCGTCACGCCTGGCGGGACCGTTAGCTCAGTGAGGTGAGAGAGGTCTTCAGGGATCTGGTTCTGGTTTGCAGGTTCCGACCCGGGCGGACTGGACGGGGCTCAGGTGAGAGTACTGGGGCGTGTGGGAGATGAGGCGTTGGGACCGTGCGGGAAGTCTTGATGAAAGGATACATTGTGACACTGCGGCTTTACGTGTGGACTCGGGATGACTGGCTATCGTGGGTCGTGGTTTAAGCACGACCGCGTAAACGTATATGGCACTGTGTGTCCTGGTGAGGGGCTCCTGTGACCTGTGCGCATGTGACTCCAGAAATTGTCCCCAGGAAACCTCCGAGGTTCGGTCTGATTCTAGCCCTGGACAGTAAATTCTGTCGTTCCTTGAGACACAGAAAATGGACAGGATGCCCGGTTCTCCTGTCCTCCATTCCCTGCCTGAGGAATAGTGGGGGCGGACCTGGTAATGAGCTCTGACCTGAAAAACTGGGGTGCCAAGAAAAACCTGGCGTCTCACAGCTACTTTTCTTCTCCAGGTGAGTCGCCCAGAAGAGACTGGAATGCCTGATGAACTTTTCCAAGTAATGTCCAAAGTGGGTTGGGGATTCCTCTTTGCTTTCCTTCTAAAGAAAATTCTTGCTTAACAATGATGTATAATTTGACTACAGGTCCCTATAATATCCTCCATAGGCCTAATGTTCAGTTATTTAAAAAGTGGCTCCACTTCTGCTTGCTGAATGAAAATTATATTCTTTTTAAATATAGTATTTACTAGGATTCTAAGAAGCATTATTTTAGAGATTTTTAAAACATAGAATTACCAAAAAATTGACCACTTAGGTAACTGGTATTAATATTTAATGTGCTTTTATTATTTTGCCAATAGCAAATTATACTTCATTTACCAATTTATGGCCTGTATTTTCACCAAATGGTGTCACATTCTCCTGTTATAAATGCTCCGGGTAAATACCATTTTTCAAAGATACATTGTTTTGCATGGGAGAGCTGCATTTATACTTTTCCTCAGATCACTTGTATCAGATTTTTAAATGTTTGAATATACATACACATATAAACTTCTACACACACAGATTGGAATTTGGATTTTCAGGATTAATGAGGTTGAACACCGTATGTTTATTAGTTGTGAGGTTTTCTTTTGTGACATGTTCAAACTTCTATACATTTTTCTCTTGATTATCTCATTGATTAGTAAGGGTTATTTATATAATCTGGATATGGGTGTTTTATTGATTATATATTTTGCTACTATTTGAATTGTTTTATCACTTTAGGATGGTTTTGTGAACAGAAGTTCTAATTTTAACAAGATTATGTTTAATGCTTAAGAAATTCTGTATCACTCCTGCACTGGGGAAAAAAAAGAAATCCTGTGTCCCAAGGTCATGATGCTAAAAGCTGTGTTTGATCTTCGTATTTATTTATTTATTTAGTGTACTGGGTTTTGAACTCAGGGCCCACACCTTGAGCCACTCAGCCAGCCCCTTTTTGTGATGGGCTTTTTCGAGATAGGGTCTTGGGAACCGGAACCATTTTGCCCAGGCTGGCTTCAAACTGCTATCCTCCTGATCTCTGCCTCCTGAGTAGCTAGGATTACAGATATGAGCCACCAGTGCCAGGTTCACTTTCCCATTTAGAAATTTATTTTTTTTTCTGCTTAGATATTTAATCCACTTTGAGCTGATTTGTGTATATATTGTGAAGCAGGGGCCAGGTTCTTTTCTTTCCTGTTTATTAATACTCAGTTTTCTTAGTACCATATGTTGGAAAATTCATCATGTTCTCACTGGTCTGCAAATATATCCAGCGTCCGTATGTGCGTAGTATATTCCATTGGTTTGTTCCATTGATCTATTTGTATATTCTTGTGCTAGTGTTGATTACTTTAGGCTTTCTCCTTCAAAAGTTAATTTGTCTTTTCTTCCCCTCACTGTCAGTACGCTGTCAGTACACCAATTGTGAGTCAAATACCCTGCTTCAAGTAGATAGGTCCTCTGATTTGAGCAGACCAGGAGTTCAAACAGCAGCCAGGAAAGAGTTTATATGCTTTATCATCCATTGCAGCCATCAGCCAGTCAGTCACCCCCCCGCAGCAGCAGCAGTTGGAGCTCCAGCATCCTGCTTAGTGCAGTGGGTTTTATAACACTGTAGACAAAAGTGGCATCTAGCAGAGTTATTACATCTACTGCACGTGCGAACCCAGCCATTGTTTTTACAAACTAGTTGTCCTTCAGTCAGTGCCTGCAGTACAGGGTATTAGCTTTTAATAATCACTTTCCTTACAGCAGGGCAGTACAGGAGTTTGAAATCAGGCCTTGCCTTCCTAGGCAGGCCACCAGCACTTTTTGCTGTATTATTTTTCGAATAATGTCTCATTTATGCCTGAGCCAGCATGCATCACTGTCCTCCTATTCCCACAGTAACTGGGATGACAGGCATGAGCCACCATGCCCACCATTTTACTGGTTGAGATGGGGTCTCATGAACTTTTTGCCCAGTCTCTGACTGAGATTGTCCTGATCGCTGACCCCTGAATAGCTAGGGTTACAGGCCCCCGGACCCTATGGCTGTTTTAAGGATTTTCTCTGTGTTTGATTTTCTATAATTTTAGTGTAGTAGGTCTAAGTGTGTATTTTATTTATATATTTGGGATTTGTAGGCTTTTTTGAATTTGTAGATGGGTGTCTATTACTAGTGCAGGAAAACCCTCAGTCATCTCTTCAAAGATTGTCCCTGCTTCGTTTTCTATCCTTCCTTCTCAGGCTCTAAATAAATGTGGGTTAGAATTTCTTGTGTTTTTCTTTTTTTATTTCTTGATCTCTTCTTGTTTTTAGAGTTGATGCCTAATAGCTCAGATAAAAGCAGTATTAAGCAAAAGAACTTTGCCTCATCCCAGAAGGGTGTAGTGAGTATGACAGGCAGCTAGAATTTTTGGTTTCTTCCCCTAGATGATAGTAAAAATATCTATTCCATTTAGACTTCAAAACATTTAGTCTTAGTGAATGCACTAAATCATGAGGCTATCCATTCACTTTGTGAGTCTTGTATCTGAAAACTATAGGATATAAGGGTAGAGGACTCAGATTACGAACAGTATTTTCTCAGGATACAAATTTGGAACACTAGGTCTGCTCTCAGTTTTTGAAATGTGTGTATTTGGTACAGATGTAAAGAAAATTGGGGTAAGAATAAGTCTTCTCAGATCTATTCAGCTTAAGAATTTCTTATCTGAATTTCTTTAGAAAAGGCCTGAGTTTTCCTAATCCTTTTTGTGCCAAAGCCCAAAGTATTTGGTTCCCCTGTCCTATCAGTGACAGTGAAGATTATTACCCAAGATTATTGGGAATACATAGAGAGACAGTGTACAATAGTAGAAAATAAAGTTTAAATGTAACTAAGCATGGTAGTACATGTCTGTAATTCCAGCATTTGGGACGCTGAGGCAAGATGACCAAGAACTCCAGGCTAGCCTGGACTACATAGCAAGATACTGTCTCCAAAACAAACAAAACTTCCTAATATTAAAAGTAGTAAAATAAGTTTTGTTCCTGGAAGCTAACCTAGTGTTAAACCAGGAAATATGTAAAGGATTCCCAGTAAAAATAGGGAAAACAGGATAAGCACAATTACCAGTGTAACTGTTTTTGATGGTATTGTCAAAGCAATAAAACTTTGCTTTGAAAAAAAAGTAGGTTAAAAATTAGAAAAGAAGATGTAAGTAACACTTTTTGCAGATTGTATGACCATACCTGGAAAAATAAAACTACTTATAACAGCACTTTGAAATAAGGACTCCATATGAAGCAAGCAAAATAAATTATTTTCCCCCATAATTTCTATTTTGGAACCTCTCTGTGATCTAATTGTTGTTGTTCTTGTCCTAGAAAAACCCTGTGATTATTTGATCACTCTTTAGTATCCTTTGATGGATTTCACTCACAAGATCAGTCTCATTTTTCTAATTATATACTCTAGTTCAGTCTTGCTTCTAACTGGAAGCTTGCAGTATAAAAGGAGAGCATATTAAATGCCTCCGTTTCCTTGCCCTGAATTTCTTTTTCCCCTGCCCAATAGGCAGTCTTTGGATGCTATGAGATTAAAATAGGAATGGGGAAGAGAAGGTAAGAAGTAGAAAAGACTTTTTTGTTTTATTTTTTTTTTTTGATGGTACTGAGACTTCACACTAGCTAGGCAGGTGTTTTACTGCTTGAGTCACTCCTCCAGCCCCTTTTTGCTGTGGTCATTTTGGAGATAGGGTTTCCAAGCTGTCCTGGACCACAGTCTTCCTAATTTATGCTTCCTGCTGTTGCTGGGATGATAGGTGTGTGCTGCCATGCCTAGCTTTTTTGCCCTAGCTGATCTGGAACCATGATATTTCCAATCTCAGCTTCCCAGATAGCTAGGATTACAGGTGTGTACCACCAGCATCGAGCTATATATTGCTGTTTTTTTAATGGACATGTTCTAGTGACCTCTTGCCAGACACGTACGGAGAGATATTTTCCAAACCATAGTTCACATTTCCTATACTTACAATATATCATAATTTTTCTTTAAGTCATTTCTATCCATGTGGTTAAGACCTTGCAGATATTGTTAATCTAAGCCGAGTATTACACTAGACCTTGCATACTTTCTAGTACAATTTTTTTTAGAGTAAATTGCCTTATTTCTTCATTTTTCCTGAGTCTATGTATGTGGGGCTAATTTTTTTCAAATCTTCTAATATTGCTATCAGTTGCCATAAATAATATTTTCCATATGACCAAACATACTAGCTCCTTATTCTTTCTTGGAAACTCCTTGCTTATATTGTTCTTTTTTCTTATTCCTAGATGTTCTCCAGGTCTGCTGCCAGGTATTGTCTTGGGACTTGCCTTGCATTATTATTGTGCTATTTTGTTTACCATTTTCATATTAGTTTTCCTGTTTCTGAATATAATACCTTTTCCTACTTTTGTTGGGGATATTCTTGTAGCTTCCTAAGTTATATCAGAGATAATTTTAAAATTCCCTGAAGGTCTAGAATTGTCTTGATTTAATCTTCAAACTATCCTAGTAATTTGACTGGCTATAGAATTCTGATTCAGAATTCATTTTCTTTTATAATAGTAATAAAGGAATTGCTTTGTTTTGTTCTGATTTCAAATAGTGCTGTTAAGAAGTCAGTTACCATTCTGAGTCCTAAAAAATTTTATGTGATCTGTTTTCTTCTTGGAAGCATTTAGCAAGTTCTGTTTTTCCTTGACATTCTGCAAGTTTATTCCACAATATATTGCAAGATGTTTTTCAAAGTGCATCACATTTTCCCTCTCAGGGCTTAAAGAGAAAATGGGACAGGGGAAGGAATTCACTTATTGAGCTGAATACTTTCTATTTCTTATCATTGAAAATGTCTACTTTATTATCCATCCTAGCCATATCCCTTGGTATACAGGAGAGATGTCTTCTATTGACATGATAAAGTAACAGCCTCTTCGTTTTGCTTACTCTGTCCTTTCCTGCATAGCCTGCTTTACCTATTGCTACCCTCTTCTTTCTTTCCATCATGAATGCATGTTTATTGTTTCAGGGGTCAGTGGCATTCAGGGATGTGTCCATAGACTTCTATCAGGAGGAATGGAAATGCTTGGACTCTGGTCAGATGAATTTGTACAAAGAAATGATGTTGGAGAATTTCAGCAACCTGGCTTCAGTGAGTAAGGATAACTACCCCCAAAATTCAGAGGGTGCCTACAGAATGTCTCCTCTCTCCATCATAAATTGTTTTCTTTAAGACACCAGCTGAATTTCTGCTCCCTGTTCTCCAAAGAATGGTTTGCATTGGAGTGGAATGGAAGAGTTGGAAATGTGCAGCTCCAGTGGGTTGCAGCTGAAGCTTCATCTTCTCCATCTTTGGTCCTTCCTGTAGGGCATTTCTTTCTTGATCACCAAGGGACTGCATCTAATTTCTGGACACCCACAGCATAACCCTGTCCCATGTCTTTTCTTGTGAGCAGGACTTCAGTTCTAAGCCAGCTGTGATCTCCTTATTGGAACAAGGAAAAGAGCCCTGGATGGTTGACAGAGAGCTGACCAGAGGCCTGTGTTCAGGTAAGTGGGAGATGACAGAACCATGAGGGAGCATTACCTCTGAGATGTTATCAAGAAATTCCTCTTTAAATTAACCTAGAAGGTAACACACATGCACAGGAAATTAATGTGAGTCAACTCCCTGTATAGCTATCCTTATCTCAACCAGCAAAAACCCTTGGTCC